CGTTGGTCAAACCAAAGGGGATGCAGACCCACTCATATAGCCCGCAGGGGGTGCTGAACACGGTGGCTTGTCTTGAGCTTTCATCCACGAAGCCTTGATGGTAAGCGCTGCCTTGGTCGAGTATCGAGAACCATGTGTATCCCCCTAGGTTATCCAGCAAGTCTTGTATCTGTGGCAACGGATGACGGTCAGGGATGGTCTTGCGATTCTGCTCCCTGAAGTCGACACATAACCGCAGGCTGCTGTCCATCTTGCGCACGCAAACCACCGGGGATGAATATGTAGATGTGGATTTCTTGATCCAGCTTCTCTCCACTCCTGCAGATGCTCCGTACTCTGCAAGAAGAGAAGAAGACGGCGTGGAAAGACCATCTACCAAACATCGTCCATGCCTATAACTGTACAAGGCAACGGGATACTCACAATTTTTTCTCCTGTATGGCAGAGCCCCACGCCTTCCTATCGACATACTGTTCGACCTCGAACCAGAAACAGTGACAAGAACCCAACAAACATCCGCAGAGAAGTGGGCAACAAGGATGCAAGACGCATACAAAATCGCTTCTGAGAACAGTCAAAGGTTCTCCGCGAAAGGGAAGAAATACTACGACAAAGGTGTCAAAGGTGCAACTCTACAGCCGGGTGATCAAGTCCTTGTGAGGAACCTATCGGAAAGAGGTGGCCCCGGGAAACTCTGTGCTTACTGGTAGAAGACAGTACACAGAGTTGTGGAGAGAATTAGTGAGGGTCCAGTGTATAAGATCCAGTTAGAGTCTGGAGACAAAGCTCTTCGTGTGCTGCACCGGAACCTCCTGTTACCTGTAAATGACTTGCCAGTGCATCAAGACACGCCAACCAAACCTGTGAAAAGAACAACACCAAGACAAAAACAGACAACAAACAGTAACATGATTGACCAAGAATCTGACAGTTCAGATGAAGAGGAAAGCTACTATACTTACCAGCACAGTCCTCGGGTCCATCAGAGCGATGTCAGACCACAACCAAGTCAACCAGAGTGGCGTACCAGACTGCAAGCTACTGCTAAGGAGTTCAGACCTACAGTGGCACAGGAACTAGAACAGATCCAGCAACAGTCTGAAGGACCTGAACAGCGTAGAGGATGAAGTGCAGGAGGAACTCCAAGATGTTGTGCTAGTACAGCGGCAAGAGGTCCAATGAAAAGGAAGACTTACCTGTGAGAAGGTCCATGCGCACTGGAAGGCCCAGAGAAATGTTTAGCTATGAGAGTTTGGGACAACAGTCATACCAGTCATAGAGACAAGGAGCAAACGCAGTTGTGCTCAATTCTTACATGGTGCCTGGAAACAGTTTTACAAGGAGGTTATTGGCACGAAGGAACAACACTTGTCTGGACATGCTAGACACTGACTAGAAATTGACTTGACTATAGACAGACAAACATATAGATGCCAGGAGTCATCAAAAAGAGGAGGGGAGAGTGTAATGGGTTGAAAACAAAGTCACAAAAAACAGACACCCCTTTTATTTATTTTTAACCAATTTGTTTATGTATTTGTCTTAATTAATCTAAATTGTATACTCTACATGCTTTAGCGTTAGTCCATCAGGCCAATAGATGGCGCTGTTGCACTGTGGTAGTAGGAGAAACAGCAAGTTCTGGCCAAGCGCGCGCACCATTCTTCAGAAGAAAGAAAGCGCCAGATCTTTGCAGACATAAACTTGTGTCCTTTCTTTTTACTATTACTGCACTAAAAGTCTGGAGTGCAGACTTTTAGTGCAGACAGTGTGGGTGCAAGAGAGAGACGATTTTACGGATGTGCTACTATCTTAAAGCTGAATGTATTGTTGTCAGTTTTCTATATTGGTAGCGGTATATAGAAAAACATTCAGTTAGTTTTGTCTTCATATAAAGTGTTTCTATTGTATGAATGTGAAATACATTTTTGTTTTCATGTGTGTCATTTAAAGTGTGCACTTGTTTTAAAAGTACGAACAAGAAAATAGACAATTGAACAAGAGAAAAAAAATCATTCTTCAGAATAAAGAAAGCGCCAGAACTTTGCAGATGTAAACTTGTGTCAGTTCTTTTTACTATTACAGGCCACCTCAGCTACAGACTGAGGCCGGTAACACATACAACTTTGCAACCGATCTGATTGACTTCCCCTGCTCTGTTACATCTTTTGATGCTCTTTTCAAAGTGTGGAGAGGTACTCCGCTGTCCGTCTTTCTTTTCCATGATCTAGGCATGCTGAAAGTAAAAGAAAACATGTACCAAAGTTTTACTCCGGGTTAGTTTTAACATATTCTCACAAGTTGTTATTACTAACCCTGACCCTTGCAGCCATTAGCTAAATGTTAAAACTTTAGCATTACTAACTTGCATCAAGCATCTCTACACAGACTGGTTATAAACCTGATATACGTTTGGTGAATGGAACTACAAAGCAGTTGATGCCGTCACAAAAACAAATTTGGTAAAAATAATGTCTTTCTTACCTCAAATTCACATTTCTGGCAATCGAATCTGCAGAGCTTATCACAGGGACTTGCTTTTTCACATAAGAGTTCAGGACTAAACTGAGCATGTGCACAGTGAATCACATGATCCTACCTCGCTCCTGATCGGAGGAATTGCAAGTGTTACAACTATCCCGTGTTATAACCATCCCCGGTCTCCCCTAGTTATACTGTGTTTTGGATGTTGTTTTGGTGCCAAAACCCAGGAACGAACCAATGATATAGATTTTTACCTGTTGATCTTTCTCAAACTGTTTTGTCCAGTTTCTATTGTTCATTTAGAAGTTTGTAGCCAACTCACAGCTATTAATGGATTTTTTTTCAGCTGTAAAACAGTTGCAAAATGCTTTAAAGTACCATTATTCTGTCAATGAATCAAAGTTATGGGGGTGGGGGCAGTTACCCCGTTACTTTAAAAAAACAGCCCTTTTCTAAAAACATTTCATGAAATAACTAAAAAAAGTGTCAATTGAAGCCATTTATTTCCATTTATAGTTTATTTGCCTAAGCATGACCTTCATCCACATACCAACTTTTTTCCAAATGTTGCTTTTTTGTGTCAGCAATTAGACATTGTTCTTAGGGGGGCTAGTTACCCCCTAGTACCCTATTGTTATGCTTTTATTGTTGATCTCTGGTAATGTGCGACCAAACCCTGGGCCGGTAGATACCATGCAATCTCTACCGACTCCCTATGATTTTAAAAACAGAGCAGGTGTTGGCCTCTTGCATGTTAATGTCAGAAGTCTATTTCCAAAAATAGACATGATTAGAATATGGGCCAATACGACATGTTGACATAATGGTTTTATCAGAAACTTTGCTAAAGAAATCTGTGTCAAATAACTCGATTTCTATTGATGGGTACACGGTTTTTAGAACTGATCGGATGAGTAAAGGAGGAGGGGTTGTAATTGATGTGAAATCCAAGTTTAACACCTCTGAAATTATCTCGATTACCAAAGCCAAACATTTAGAATTGCTTGCGGTTAAAGTGAACATATTTAAGGACTTCCACATCACTGTAGTCGGCTGCTACATACTGCCCTCGGCTTTGGGAGACTAATTTAACTCTCTGATGTTCTGCGAAAGCTAAATGACTCTGAATTCATTATTTTAGGAGATTCGGAGGCAAATGACTAATGCACTTGATTAAAAGCAACATTGTGCTGCTCTGTTGATTTATCAAAGTCATTTGATTCAATTTACCATTAATTGTTGCTAGCTAGACTCTAACATTGGAGGGGCAGTAAATGGGTTTAGGAGCCATCTTTCTGACAGAACACAATGTGTATATGCTGACAATCACAAGTCTAGCTTTCTTGAGATGAATAGAGGTGTGCCCCAGGGTTCCATTTTAGCTCCTGTGTTGTTCTCAATTTTTATTAATGATCTGGGAAATGGGATGCAACCAGCAAAGTTGCATCTATATACAGATGATACAGTCATATATATTAATGTTCTCCTTCTCTGGTTGAGGCTGTTGAAGAGCTCCAGACTGCTTTTCAGTCACTGCAGACCTCCCAATATGGTCTCAAACTGGTCTTGAATGTAAAAAACTAACAAATTCATTACCTTTACCAGAGCTCACACTCAGCCAGAGGTATATGGTTGGATGACAAGTTGTCCTTTAAGGTTCAAATGGATAATCTTGTGAGGAAGCCTAAATTGAAATTGGGTTTTTATTTTTTTAATAAGGCTTGCTTATCGCTTATCGCTAGAAAGAAGCTTGTTCGGGCCACTTTTCAATCTGTAATTGATGGTGACTTGTTGTAAATGCATGCAGCCGCCTCTGTCTTACGGAGACTGGACTCTGTTTATCATGCATCCTTGCGCTTTATTACAAATGCCAAGTCACTCACCCACCATGGCACCTTGTACCAAATGGTGGGTTGGACTTCACTTTATATGCGCAGAAAGCTACATTTGTACACGTTCATCTACAAAGTCCCTCTTTACCTCTATAGTCTGGTCTCCACCACCAGCAGTTACCATACGCTGTCTGCTAGCTGGTTGCTACTTAAAGTCTCCAGGACATTTACAGTATTAGGCAAGACTGCCTTCTCGTCTTGTGCACCAGAGGCATGGAATAGTCTACAACCCATGCTTCATCTAGATATGTTAGTGCCACTGAATGAATAAAACATTTTGATGGAAGACTGTTACAGAGGAGTGTACATTTTTAGGCTGGAACATGTTGTTGAACTGTATTGTTCTACGTTTTAATTCTGTAATGTTTTGATTGTTGCTGCCTTCTTGGCCAGGTCTCCCTTGAAAAAGAGACTGAGTCTCAATGGCCTTCTCCTGGTAAAAAAAAAAAAAGGTGAAATAAAAAGTAGTTAAAATGCTTTTGAGGTGTTGAAACATCAAATGTGTATTTATTTATTACTCCATAGGTACTGAAGACTGGTTATTCAGACCTCCATTGGTTGTTACTTTTTATACTGAAATAAAACAAAAGTGGATTGATGTTGTAATAAAAGGAACAGAGAACATGTTTCCAGTTCTAACCAGTAGCGTTTATTAAGCACACAGCAGTCCTTATTGTGATGTTACAGCATACCGTCTCTATAGGTTATTAAATCCAGCGAAAGCACGAAAACAGCTAAAACATTCAAATGCCGACATATTCACTAGGCAGTGAAGCACAACGAGTGAGAGATACAGCTAGCTAGATAACTATGGAGTATTCTAGTGTCAGATTCATGCAGTTTCAGACGTGTATTTGTGTGTGTGGGGCAAACGCATCCCGATTGGTCACTGGCAGGCAAGGGATCAGTTGACGAAAAGCGAGCGGGTGAATTCAACAAAGTCGAAGGCCGAGGTCATTTCCCGGCCCTTGCTGTCTAGGTAGGGCTTCATGTGCGAGATGCAGTAGTCTGCCTGTTCCTTGCTCAGGTTCTGAAAGAAGGGGAGAAGAGATGGTAAGTTAGGAGATGGGCAGGTATTTCTTCTCTCAGAGGTTTTATGCACTTTTAAGTTTTGATAAGTTATTTATTTAAGAGCCATTTATAAATGCACAACTTTTATGGCTGCAGCTCATATTCATAATTGAAATTCTGGTCCTATTCAATAGCCTCTTTTCCATAACCACTGTGACTGAGAAACAGCCTGGAGCCAGAATGTGGTGTAAGGAAGGTCGGCGTATAAGTACCTGGTAGAGTTCTTCCTTGGTGACATAGGGCTTGGCATCGACGCTGAGGGCTCGGAAGGCGCTCTCAATCTCCTCGCTGGACTTTACGTTCTCTGTCTCGCGGCTGATCATGAAGGCCATGTACTCCTGCAAGGACACGTTGCCATCCCTGGAACACACACAAAACCAGTTAGCCATAACCCAAAGAAATATAAACATCAAAATATGAGGCAAACCACTAACACACCCATTCTGAGTAATAATAAAGTAACATTCTTGGGAAGGTTTAATCGTTTTTCAAATAGCATTCCAACAAGTGCTTGGCCTGATGAAAATCCCCAAGTAAAGTTGACAATCTGAATAGAGCTGGGGTTGCTGACCTGTTGGGATCGACCGTGTCGAGGATGGACTCAAACTCGGGGTCTGGTTCTCCCTCCTCCACCATGGGCAGGTCGTAACCCAGCGAGCGCAGACACGACTTGAATTCCTGATGGTTTAAACGGCCAGACTTCTCTTTGTCAAAGTGCCTGGGGAGCAAAGGGAAAGAGAAAATGGTTGAGGTTATTAAGTTCCTTCACCTAAATAAGGACAAAGGGAGAGCTCCTTTGCATTTCAGCCTTGCAAGCACCTTTTTCCCCTACACTGTCCTGGTTCCTTCACCCAAGCTACTTGGTATGACCAGAAGGTACAGTGAAAATGGCCACCACTCACTTGAACATCATGCTGAACTCCTTCAGGGCATCCTCTGTCACTCCAGTGGTGTTCCTGCAGTGGACAGATACGACAAGATTAGGAATGAAGGAACGCTTTGGCCAAAATATGTTTACTGCTTGAACATGGGAGTTTATAGTGTGTAAGGATGTTTTGTTGTGTTTATACAGTATGTGTGTGTGTGCGTGCGTGTCTCCCTCTCTCTGACCTGGCCTGGATCTGCTGCTCCAGGTTGTGCTGCATCCTCATGCCCAGTTGGTCTAGCTGGTCCCACTGTTGGGCCAGGCCCACCGTGCTGTGTTCTGTGTACTTGTTGTCCAGGATCAGGGCTTCCTCCATGGCCGCTCCCAAGTCCTCGATCTTCTTCAGCTGGCTGCGCATGGCCCGGATCTCCTGGTGCTTACGCTACAGAGAGCGAGTGACACACAGGTGAGGCTATGCAATGAAATAGCCAAAATGGTTGTCTATAGCATAAATGACAAGGGTTTCTTTCTTACCTTGGTTGCCTCAAGCTGTGATTCCAAGGTTCCGGACTCTTCTACCATGCAGGACCTAGATGTATACACACAAGTGTCAGGGGACAGGAGAATTCTAGGCTGATCAAATATTGGGATAGACAACATGCCATAGCCATCAAGATCAGGTGATACAGTCAGTCATACACGCGCAGTTGCAGACAAATACACACAGAGTCCTCACACACACACACACACACCAATCTGGTAGTAGGAACCCTTGGATTCTTAACCACCGATCCAACTTCATTGCTACTCTATGATACATTCTCATTTTGATAATAATATCAAATTCATACATTTGACTATACCAGTTGTGCGTCAAGAGATTCCAAACAAATCTGGTAATTTACTAATTGAAACAAATAACCAATGATTTTTGTAAAGAAGCAAAGTAAATATTTGTATGAAACCTCACAACAAATTTCATAGAACATACGGCTGGGAACATTTGGTAAATTAAAAAGGTAAGGAAACAGAAGTACAAAACAGTAGTAAAAACAACAACCGTTTCAAACATCTCAAAATGTTCAAGGCCATCCATTTCCCTAGAAATGTCACTGGACTTACCTCAAATGGTGTTAAGTTATACAAATTAGAAAACTACGAAGAAAAACTACAAGAAATCCCAAAATACACTGGCCTTTGCACAAAGCCAATCAATCCATGCCAAAGAAGCCAACTGATAGCCGTGGTAATCTACCATGGGAGGTTAGGGCTACAGTGCACAGGGCTGGAAACTACATTTTACCTTGAATCTGTTGTGAATGAAGTGTAACAAATTCAGCTCAGAAAGAAATTACAATGTTTCAAGTACAGTGTCCAACAACATGTTTTGCAATTTCCACCCCTGAATTTGGTGAAATAAAAAATCCCCAAAAGATGGTGAAAGTCACTCCTTTAAAACGCTGCTCAATGTAGCCAGACTTGAAAAGAGTATGCAGACCAATCATGAGGTTGATCTTAGTTTCCAGGGAGCTACATTGCGGTGAAGTTAGTAGAGATGAAACTGAGCACACCGAGCCCAAATGGTGGGTTTTAAAAGTGCATGAAGACACGCAACCAAGAGGGCATGATGAAAGTAACGATGGGAAAAGGAAAAAGGGAGTGAGGGAGATGGTTTGGAAAACCAGGAGAAAAGGGAAAAGACCTTCCGGAAAGATCATCGCTGACTTCATACTGAAAGACACGGACAACCCGTCGATAAGCTATGCTATTTAGAGAAGGAAGGAGGAAAAGAGAGCAAATAATAATAGAAAAGAAAATTATACAAAGATGAAAATGTTTTACAAAAAAAAGGAAAAGAAAAGGCGTTACAGTAATATTACACAATAAAATATGGATTCCCTAGAATATAAGTGAAACCTGGTCCAGTTTTACCTTCAATTTCTTCACGTGGTAACAGTTACCTGGTGGTTCTATGTAAACAACATGTATGATGCAACATTTTGCCACTGACTTGACACCAAACCTGCAGTGGCTCAACAGCAAACCTAAATGGTGGCAAGCGCCATCACTCCAATCTACCCATCTTTCAGATCACAGACCTTGATTTCATCATCGTCTCATTATATTGATTTGATCCCACTCGCACAGTCAGACACACACAAACAAACACACACAGAGACAGTAAAATATGATATTAACCCATCCAGAAGATATGTCCTGATCAGCAAAGTGATTCCCAAGCATCAGCGAGGTAGCAGCAAGAGAGACGGAAGGAGCGGGAAAGGGGTGTGGGGGGGGGGGAGAGAAAGAGACAATGGTTAGAAACATTAGGCAGGGGCACATTGGCCATTGCGTGATCGCTCTCTAACAAACATACACACAGAAATACAGTCTGAGCACAGGTACATCCGCAGTATGATCCATTTTCAGTTTGAAACATTTACAGACCACTTGTGTGGTTGTGTAGAAGTTGTAACAGTTCTCCCCATCCACCTACAACCCACAATACACAAATCATGCTTTGCCTGGGGCCTATTCAGTGAGGAGAGACATTCAGAGCATTGCAGACAGAAGTGTGTTGTGTACAATAGAGCATCATGTAGGTTTCATACAACACATCTATCTGCAACTGTTCACTCGTCGCTCCGATGAATAGCACCCTGTTCTCTATGGCCAGAGAACAACAAGGTGGCAGAGATAGACAGGACATACATTTCTGAGCAGCAGGCACATTTAAAGTCCAGGTAGCTCCATTGATTTCTTATTGGGTAAGGTGATGCATGGACATTTGGATTTAAAAATAGAATGATATTAACAGTCTCCCCATCCCATTCCTAGAATATTCCAATATATCAAATAAGGAGTGCACTGCCTTCCTAGCACAACAGATCCAGACCCTACCTGGTCTCCTGCAGCCACTGGTGGAATGCGTTGGCATGCTGCGCAAACTCCTGCCGCAGCTTGTCGTTCTCCTCCTGCCTCCTCTGCTCCTTCTGCAACTCCAGCTCTCGTTCCTATATAGATGGATTGATGAAGTGCTTCCCAGACAAAATGCAGATTCACTCCCCCAAAATCCACTGAGCCCTTCACAGAAGCCCCTTGTGGGTTCTGGTCAAAAGTAGAGCACTACAGTATACATTTGGAATTTGACACGAGGTTTGCCTGTCCTCAACACTAAGCCTGATCCTCAGATCTGTGTTGTATAGCCAACTCATATGGTTGTTGTCGTGCCAATTGGTTGAAGATCAGGGTGAGAAATATACTTTTTGGTTCACCAGCCACTGTGGCAGGTACATGGAAAAATCTAACAGACACTCAGATATCAAGAATCAACAAAGTGCCTGCCCTGCCACAAAATGCTGAGCGATACAGTTGATTTATTATTATAATAATTCAGGGCTCTACGCTGACATTTTTTACAAGGAGTACATAAATTGAAATTTAGGACCACACAAATACATTTAGGAGCACAATAAAATTATATATCAGTGTTTTAATAATGAAAAAGTGTTCCATGCTCAATCAAGCACAATGTAGCCCCAAATATGAGTACAAAAAAAAAACGTGGCAACGAGGCACTGTCTTTCTGTCAGAGATGAGAATCTCAATCTCTTCGCTAGCAGCTGACAGTTGCAAACTCAAAGCATGTGAACAAAACGATGTAACTAGCCAAGAAACACAAGGACAAAGTCACACTTCTGCATTTGGGCTTTGGATTAAAATGTTTCCCAAATGCTCTGCGTGATCACCCGCCAACGTGGCTGGTGAAAATCTACCCACATTTGGCAGGTGTTCATTTCCCACCCTGTTGACGATACAGAACAAACAGATCTGGGACCAGACTACCTCCCACCCCTCTTCCCTCTCCCTCTCCCTCATCACCTTGATGATCTTCTGCAGGTTTCTCCAGGTCTCCTCCAGGGCCTCCATGGTGAACCAGGTGTAGGGGTTGGACACCACCTGGTAACTCTTGATCTGCCGGTCAAGCTCGGCCAGCTGGTTGAAGTCGGCCTGTGCCGAGCTCAGCGACGAACGGAAGGCCTCGTGGGCATCGCGCAGTGCCCGGATCTCCTCCAGCGAGTTGCAGCGCACAGGGTCCGTCAGGTCCTCCTCTGCGTTCTCAAACCAGCTATTGAAGGCCGATGCCTTCTTGGCAAAGGTCAGGAAGAGGTCTTCCACCTGGGAGGGGGGGCTCGATTCAGTGAGGTTTGACCGACCATAATATGAACACCAATGATAATGATCTATGAATTGTAGTCATTAAGATATCCTACCTTCCTGAAGTGCTCCTGGGCCTCCAGCAGCTTCTTCTTGCGTGCCTGTGAGTTGTCGAGCAGCTGGTTCCAGCGCTTCATGAGTGCGGCGTGGCGGGCTTCGATGGCCTTGGACTGGACGTGCTTGGCTGCCAGCAGCTGGTCCTTGAGGGCCGTGATGTTGGTGATGCCCTCCTGCTGGAAGGCCTGCAGACCAGCGTCAAACGTCTCCTGTAGACCCGAGGAGGGAAGAAGGAACATGAGGCATGGGAGAATGTGTCTAGCTGATGCTTCTGGAACAAAATGGTGGCCGTGGCATCACTCATTTGGGAGATACACATTGCTACACCATACCTGCTTAGTGAGCAACGTCTGCACAGAGGAGAGATCTCGTCCGTAGTCATCAGTCTTCAGGCTATTCTCCTTCTCACCTGCACAAACAACCAGACCATACAGATTGAGTAATGCACTCAAATAGTAATCAACACTTTCATATTTTGTGAAAACTCATGAAAAATCTGAACATTTTACTTCCGAGTTAGTTCACCCTAAAAAAAAAAAACTGATGAGCTTAAAGACTGAACACAACAGTAACAGTATTATTGAGAACCCCCTCTCGCGTACCAATCCAGGACTCCACCACGTCGGCCTTCCAGTTGAACTGCAGGAAGGCAGAGTTCTCGTCCAGCTTGGCTTTCCTCATGGCAGCAGCCCTCTCCAGCTCAGACACCTTGCCCCGCAGGGACGTCATCTTGGCTGAGATGCTGTCCACGTGGTGGTTGTTCTAATTGAGGGACAGGGACACGAACACAATATGCATTTAAAATCAGTCTGGGTGAATCGACAACTGGCAAGTCAAGTGAAAATGTAAATTGTAAAAAAAAAAAAAAAAAAAACATTTCAGTTGGTACCTGGTCTCTTAGTCATAACATATCATTATCATATCATTTGTATGGTCAGTGTTTGGCTGAGACGTACCTTCTTGATGAGCTCGTCTCCGTTGGAACACACATCATTCACTCTGTCCCTGTGCACGGTGAAGTCAGTCTCAAACGCCTCATGCTTCTTTAACAGGCCCTGCACGGCGGCCAGGGTATCCCCGTAGTCTTCGCTTCCCACCAGGTTCAGCTTCTCATTCATCCAGGCTTCCTCCTCTTCAACATTCGCAACAAACTGCTGGTATTCCAGCGACTCCTCCAGCCTCTGACCTCTGATCAGACATACACAAAAAATGTTTTACATTATCAATGAATGCCTAAGATAATGGTGTTTCACCTGTGTGTGGTGTGCATGTTCATTTGTGTTTGTGTGTATCAGATCGGGCCGAGACGATACCAGTATTGTGGTAGTATCAGAGTGTGTGTGTCAGAATGTGTGTGCGCGTTAGTCAGAATGTGTGTGTGTGTTAGTGTATGTGTATCACAATGAACCAGTGTGTCTGTGTGTCCAGTCTCACCTGGCTGCAGCCAGGTCCTTCAGCTCGGTCCAGTGCTCCTCAAACTGGCCCAGCCTCTGCTCAATCTCCTCCTGGCCGATGGTGTTGTCGTCGGACAGCTTCTTCCCAGTGTCCTGCACAGACTGGATGGCTGGCTCGTGGGCCCCCAACTCAGCTTCCAGCCTCTTGTGTTTCTTCCTCAGATTCTGCACTCCTGTCAAATCACGTCCATAGTCTTCCGAACTCACTAGCAATTTCTTTTCTCTGGATGGAGAACAAAAGAGACGAAGAGAGAAAGAAAAAAGAAGCGGGCGAGTGTGTTAGTAATTGACCTCAATGTCTCAACACCAAAAACACTCCAAGACTTTGTCTTGCATCCATTCCTCCACAACTCCAGGGGGAGCTCTTACTTGATCCAAGACTCCTCGTCGTCCAGGTCCCTGAAGAACTGGTGCAGGCGGTGTGACTCGTTGAGCTTTGCGCGGCGGCCGGCGGCCATGCTCTTGATCTTGGCGAAGCGTCCGTTGACAGCGTCGCGCTTGTCCTTGACCTGGGTGGGGTCGAAGGCCGTGCTGGCCGTCAGGCTGTCGGCCTGGCCGTTCAGGTCCTTCAGGCGGTCCTGTAGACAGACAGAAAGACGTTCAACGCAAAGCACTAGCCTGTACTGGTGGATACCTTCAGTGATTTGTACAAAAAACATTCAAAGACAGATGTTATGTAAGAATGATAAGTTCAATAGGCGACACTTGGACAGAGAGGTTTCAATGTCGAACCAAACTGAGGCAGTGTCACCTTTCAGCCAGTCAGCATATAACATGGAAGTGTAAAGATAACGGATTTCAAATATAGCATTTCTCACATTAAGTACATCAAGGACCCCAGCTGAGGCCAGACTTGATCATTCAGCCATTTTCAGGCAAGGCCTTCCCTTGGTCCAACTGAAGAAGCTCAGTCCCATGATGGTGGTGGCTGTAGTTTAACAGCGAGATATGTGAACGTTGGATACATTACCTCATGAGCAGAGATGTCGGCTTCCAGAAGCTGGTGTTTCTTCAGCAGGTTATTGACTGAGGCCAGGTCTTTGCCATAATCCTCAGAGGCAAGAAGGGCCTCGACCTGCAGAGAAAAACAAGAGGAAACAAAAGTAATTTAGTGAACGGTAGTTACTCATCGTCTTTGTTTTCAGAGAGCATTTTTCCCAAATTAAATCTCAGCATCTTTTATTTTATATATTTTTATCTTTACTATAGCACAGGTAGGTGAATGGGTTAACGTGTCAAATCCAACTTTATTTTAAGCCCATTTAAAATCCGTCTAACATTGACTAAATGGCTGGAAACAAACTCAGATGTGATGTATTTTTGGGTGTCTGTTCAGTAAACCAAACCTCTCCTTTTCTAATCTTACTGACTATCTGTGCAGGTCTCAGATGAATCCTATTAAACATCAGGGTTTTCAGTACTGAGTATACGATTTCTCATCACAGACCAAATATCAGCATCTTTGACTTCTGAGAATTGTGTGGTGGATGGTGGAGGAATGTGGTGGATTTCACGAAAGAAGTCTAAAAAAAATTGTCATTTGTTTTTACCTCAGATAGCCAGAAGTCAAAGTCCTTGATGCCAGTGTTGAAGTTCTGCTGCTTGTTGGCTTCCTTGAGCTTCTGGCTCTTCTCTGCTGACTTGTTCACCAGGAACTGCCACTGCTCATCCAGAGCACCGAGACGTGACTAAAGAAACACATGCACAGGTTAGATACCCAGTTGTGGACTAGTGACAAAAACAGTAGATGTTGAACAAGGCAAGAACTAGTTCACGTTGCTTGAGTGGCATAGGATGAGAACGTATTTAACATTTGTCTGCAATATGATCACCATGTTTTTCCTCAAAGGCTTTCGTCCTTGAAGTGGCTTTTGTAGGTGTATGTAAAGAACGTTTTTATACTTACAATTATAAGGTGTGTGTATAGCTACAAGTATGATGTTTAAAGACCGTGTGTGTACCTGAACTGCGTCCTCACTGCCGGCGCAGGCCCCTCTCTGGATGAGGGCGTTGCCCGTGTCGATGACCCCGCGGATGCGGTCTGCGTTGGCATGCAGCTCCGCCTCGAAGGCCTGGTGCTTCTGGTGCTTACTCTGTGAGAGCAGGCAAGAGAAGGAAGGAAGAGAGAGAGTGAGAACCATGGAGTTATTGAGAGCCAGTGGGTTGGTGCTGGATGGGTGACATCTCCCTTAGATTGTGTGAAAACACCCTCCGGTAGGCTACTTAGAAATTATGTGTTGGTAAGGGTTGATGTACAATTGAAAAGGCAATTTAGTCATTTAGCAGATGCTCTTCTATAGAATAAGTGCATTCAAATAAAGAGGCAGTGCATTCGGAAAGTATTCAGACCTCTTGACTTCTTCCACATTTTGTTATGTTACAGCCTTATTCTAAAATTGATTACATAGTTTTTTCCCCTGTCATCAATCTACACACAACACCCCATAATGACAAAGCAAAAACAGGTTTTTAGAAATTTCCGCAAATGTATATAAAAAGTATTCAGACCCTTCACTCAGTACTTTGTTGAAGCGCCTTTTGCAGCGATTACAGCCTTGAGTCTTCTTGGGTATGATGCCACAACCTTGGTACATCTGTATTTGGGGAGTTTCTCCCATTCTTCTCTGCAGATCCTCTCAAGCTCTGTCAGGTTGGATGGGGAGCGTTGCTGCACACCTATTTTCAGGTCTCTCCAGAGATGTTCGATCAGTTCAAGTCCGGGCTCTGGCTGGGCCACTCAAGGACATTCAGAGATTTGTCCCGAAGCCACTCCTGCGGTGTCTTGGCTGTTGTTGTCCTGTTGGAAGGTGAACCTTTGCCCCAGTCTGAGGTCCTGAGCACTCTGTAGCAGGTTTTCATCAAGGTACTCTCTGTACTTTGCTCTGTTCATCTTTGCCTCGATCCGGACTAGTCTCCCAGGCCCTGCCGCTGAAAAACATCCCCACAGCATGATGCTGCCACCACCATGTTTCACCATAGGGATGGTGCCAGGTTTCCCAAAGACGTTACACTTGGCATTCAGGCCAAAAAGTTCAATCTTGGTTTCATCAGACCAGAGAATCTTGTTTCTCATGGTCTGAGAGTCTTTAGGTGCCTTTTGGCAAACTCCAAGCGGGCTGTCATGTGCCTTTTACTGAGGAGTGGCTTCCGTCTGGCCACTCTACCATAAAGGCCTGATTGGTGGAGTGCTGCAGGGATGATTGTCCTTCTGGAAGGTTCTCCCATCTCCACAGAGGAACTCTGGAGCTCTGTCAGAGTGACCATCGGGTTGTTGGTCACCTCCTTGACCAAGGCCTTTCTCCCCCGATTGCTCAGTTTGGCCGGGCGGCCAGCTCTAGGAAGAGTCTTGGTGGTTCCAAACTTCTTCAATTTAAGAATTATGACGCCACTGTGTTCTTGGGGACCTTCAATGCTGCAGAATTTTGTTTTTACCCTTCCCCAGATCTGTGTCTCGACACAATCCTGTCTCGGAGCTCTACGGACAATTCCTTCGACCTCATGGCTTGGTTTTTGCTCTGACATGCACTGTCAACTGTGGGACTTATATAGGCAGGTGTGTGCCTTTCCAAATCATGTCCAATCAATTGAATTTACCACAGGTGGACTCCAATCAAGTTGCAGAAACATCAAGGATGATCAATGGAAACAGGATGCACCTGAACTCAATTTCGAGTCTCATAGCAAAGGGTCTGAAGACATATGTAAAGAAGGTATCTGTTTTGTATTTGTAATACATTTGCAAAAAATTCTAAAAACCTGTTTTCGCTTTGTCACTATGGGGTATTGTGTGTAGATTGCTGAGGATTATATATTTTTTAAATCCATTTTACAGTAAGGCTGTAACGTAACAAAATCTGGAAAAAGATCAAGGGGTCTGAATACTTTCCAAAGGCACTGTATATATTAGAATAGCACTTTTTACAATATGCTTCATAAGTGGCAGTCCTTTTTCACGTATATGTTTATGTTTGTACGTGGAGAGTGAATATCCCCTATTTGGGGCTATTGACTATTCAGGGCTCGACATTAACGCTTGTCCGCTTGCCCGAGGCAAGTAAAATAAAATGTTGGACAAGCAGATTATAGATTTCAGTTGTTCGAATGGACAAGTTTTAAAAAAAACACGCAAAAATCAAAATATCAAACAATTAGGCTACTCCGATCATATAATTGGATTAAAGTGTCCTCCGGATGCGATGTTTTGTTCACTGTCCTCCCAATCTCTGAAGATCGCATCAGAGTATAATTATTGTAGGCCTTCATTGACAGGCACGAGCAGTCTTTCAATCATGCAGTCGCGAGATGTGTTTTTGAGATCAAAGCGAGCCGCATTTGCACATTTGTTGATAATAATTGTTAGTGAGTTATTTGCCCAGTTATAGCTCGTTTTTGGTCAGCAATTAAAATTATGAAAAAGTAATGGTGTGTGCACGTCACCTGCATGTGTACAAATGGGCCATTGCCAGAGGAGAGAGAAAGTGCGCGAGAGAGTCATTTGCGCAGCAGGTAAAACAGACTAACTAGATAACCAGCCAAAACGACACTATGTTTTGAATTGGCTGGTTATCTTGCTTGTTAACTATTTACCTATTAGCATGCATTAATGTCATTGTCATGTTCGATGTCCTAAAATAACTTTACACCGGCACTAGTGTATAACCGCAAATGGCCAACACGCAGTTGATACGGGTACGCAGTTGATGAAACAAATGCTGCATATTCCGGTTGTAAAACAGTCTCTCAAGCACTCAAAATTGGCTAGGATTCTCCTCTATTCAATACTGGCCATGTAATTCTGACAAAGTAAAAATAAAAAATAAACTTAGAATAGCCTAATTGTCAAGTAACTCATCTGCTATCAAGATCTCCAGGAGATGACTGTAAGACAACATCCACACATGTAGTGAAAAAAAATGAACAAAGATAAGGTGAAATTCAGACACCACCAAATGAGGACAGACAATGTGTCGGACTGACTTCTACAGGACAAGACACACCAAGGTGACAAACAAAATGGAGATGAAACGGACCCACAACGAGCCCGCGACAAAATACAGAAGAGGGGGTCTTTTCAAAACTCATTCCACACTTTGTTTTTACACAACCAGGGATTGAGAGGGGAAGAGAGCGGACAAAACACTTATGCGAGGTGTCGGAGCTATCCTTGAAGTTACTGCTTTTGCGGCTAAAACGTGGTTTTTGGTTACAACCATGACTGCTGCTAGCTTACAAAAAAGGCGAGGCACATCAATCTCGGTCTCTCATGTTTATATACATTTGTCAAGATTTATAGGATTTTTTTGTTTTTTAAGCAACAATATGTGGAGCAAGTTTGAAGATGACCTAACCGCAGACAAACAAACCAAAAAAAATATATATAGAAGCCACAACCAGCAACTACAAGAAGTGACATTTGCTAAAATGGAAACAACTACAGTCATATACAAACATGTGCAGTGATGGCACAAGATGGGGGAAAATGAACACGTATAAAACCCATACAAAAAAGAAGCGGGCACTCGCGAGTGCGGATGAACACGTAAAATAGACGGACGGGATGGCATTCTACAAACGTATCTACAACAGACAAGGCAACAGACACGGACACGTGACAGAAAAACCTACTTTGGATGTTAGTTTAGCGGACACACTATTCAACTTACCAGCAGCTTGGACAGCTATAAACGAGACAATAAAAACAGAGGAGAGAATCAGTCCCATATAGACACACATGGGGGTTGGTTCAGTAGTTACAGGTAAGGGGGCATTGTAGTCATTAACAGGGAGCAACAATACATTTACACAGTATTACACTGCAGTATTGAAACCACTGACAAGTTAGATGTCATTTAACTTATATTTACAAACTCTCACCCTCCCCCAAAATCGGTTTACCATCTTTTGAAACAAAAATAAAATGCCTTGTAGGCCTTGTGGTATTCAAGGTTGCGGAGGAATTACAGTGGGGTCGCCAAATGTTTAATATAAATACATACAAAAAAAATTATGGCAATATACAAATGTATTTGAAAAATAAAATGTTAGAGTAAATGTATTTATTGGTTCTCTTAATTTTAATAAGAGATTAAATGTAATGAATTGAAGGTTATTTGTTGATGTAAAAATCAACATTTACCAATATTAAGGTTAAACCGTTAGATTTGGAGTGGGGTCGCCAGAAATTCTGGTGAAAGAAATAGGGTGTTCCAAGTCGGTAATTGATCATGATCTTTTGATCAAGTCAATGTGCCTCATCTGACAAGAATAAAAAAGTAAAAGTTGCCCCTAACCACTGATCAGATATTTGTTATCCTACTAATGGTTATGGGGTTGGGTAAACTGACCCTAGATCAGTGGTTAGGGGCCTAGGGGCAGCCCATAGAGATGGTTAGAGGGTGTACGTCCCATGCTGAAAGCCCTCCACGGCGCTACCGATTGCTATCTGTCTTTTGTGGCAAGTGTGCCCACTATCCATCTCTATGGTTCAGTCTTGAACCTCCATGGATGGAGCCTGTCATTGTGATATTCCTAGCCAATCCTGTACCTGGATGTTGGTGGGGTCCTTGTAGGACTCGTCGGTGGCTGTCTGCAGCTTCTCGCTGATCCAGGCCTCGATCTCGTCCACATCACGGCTGAACTGCTGCAGGGTCTGGGACTCGCCCAGCTTGGAGCGCTTCTCAATCATCTGGGCCTTCAGACGGCGCCACCTACAGACCGGGAGGACAAACACAGGCAGGCACAGTTACACTAGGGCAGGCAGTTACACTAGGGCAATTCCATGGTAATGGAATTACGCTGAGACAAAAACCATTGATTCAAAGTTTAACAAACCATATTTTTTAAAGTGAAAAATCAGAGTCTCAACATTATTCCAGTACCATGGAATTGGCCACTAACAGATACGCACATACAAAGTCACACACGGTCATCTAAAGATGAAGCTAGAGTGACCTGTCCAGGACTTCGTTGCGACGTTTGAAGATCTCAGGCTTGGCGTAGTGGTCAGCGCCGACCAGCTGGTCAGCAAAGGACTGCAGGGCAGCAATCTTCTCCTCCTGCACGTTGATGGCCTTGTCAAAGTCCTCGTGTTTTTTGATGAGGGCCTCCACGCTGTCAAGGGAGTCGCCCTTGTCGTCACTGGCCAGGAAGGCCTCGCGCGCTGCCATCCAGTTCTCAGCCTGCTCACAGTCACGGTTGAACAGCTGAGGGAGGAGAGGAGAGAGATGACTCACTAGGATAGGTTGTATACTGGCTAGGCTAGTAATTGATGTTTTCTCGAGGTTGTGTGTGGTATAATTATTTAATTTGTATTCCGCGAGTTGGCAGCACACAAACTAGATTAGGCCTAGTTCATCAAAGGCACACTGTCAAGTCTGGAGCAAAGGAAACTAAAGTAATGTAGACACACCAACATGTCCTTAAGTTGAAATAACCAAAAGCCACTGAGATGAGGTGTTTGGTTTTGGAAGGCTTAAGGAATGATCTGCCACCCTTCCGTGCCCCAGAAGGTAAGCAACAAGGGGGTTTCTAAGAGTGCATATTTTTGAATTTTATTTTTACTGAGGTTTTATGCTGTGTCATTTCATTTACTTAAATTAAGTTACACTTAAATTATGGTCAAACATTGCCAATTTGCGAACTTAATGTGTGTGCGCTGTGTCCCTGTATTGAGGCAAGCGTGTTTCATAGTTTATTCTACAGTATTAATGATTGAATGTGCCGGTGTGTGTGCGAGCGTGCGTATGCGTGTCTCCCCAACCTGGAGCTCCAGGCATTGGTCCAGCATCATGCGTCTCTGGACCCAGGCCTTCTCCAGGTCGGCCCTCTCGCGGTCCAGGGCCTCCAGCTTCTGCTGGATCTCCGGACTGGCGTAGTGGCCGCGTGCCAGCAGCTGCTGGCCAAACTGCTCAAAGGCCTGGAAGGTGCCTGCACGGGCGTCGATCTCAGTACGGTGCTCCTGGAAAGAGGGAAGCGGGAGAGAGGATGGTAAGATTGCAGGTGTATATTGGATGGACTAGATGCTTGTTTGTGTCTATATGTGGAATCGGGTTCACCTGGTGTCCACAAGATACAGGGGGTGGACGGTACAAGTGCTTTTGTGTGCATCTGTGTGTGTTCATATACCAGTACCTGGTGTCTCTCCAGCAGGGCCTCAGCCCCGGTCACATCTTTGGCCAGTTCCTCTGAGGAGACCAAGCTTCGGATGCCGTTGATCCAGGACATCAGGTCCCTGAAGTCGGACAGGAAGCGCTGCAGGTCGTGGGAGTTGCCCAGCTTGTCCTTGCGCTGGTCGGCACGCGCCACTAGGCTGCTCCAGGCCGTGTTGAGCTCTGTGCACTTCTCCTGGATGTCGTCCACAGCCTCCGGGTGGGACTGGATCAGACGCTCTGCCGTCTCCCCCAGAGAGTTCACCTGGAACAGGGGAGAGGAAGGCAAAGATCCGCTAAGGGTTATTTTCTTCAAACAGTAGACAAATAAAAGTGTGTGTCATTGTTTGGTCCTGCTCTTACTGAGGGTCAGTATCTTATTGAAGAAGGACGATCGACACAGTAGACAAATGCGCACGTGTGTGTGTGTGTGTGTGTGTTTCTGCTCACCTCGTCTTCAAACCTTAGATCAGCGGAGGGTCAGTATTGTCTTGAAAAAGGATAATCAAAATGGCAACTGAATGTGTGTGTGTGTGTGTGTACATGTGCGTGTTCCCGCTCACCTTGTCTCCCAGGGCGGCCAGGTCTCTCTCAAAGCCCTCATGTTTGCGCTGCAGAGCCTGAACGCTAGCCAGGTCGTGGCCGTAGTTGTCTGTGTTCAGGGCCTGGTTCTTCTCCTCGATCCACTCCTTGGTCTCATCTGCATCCCTGAGGACAACAAGCAGCCATTTTGTTTTTCGTTTTCACACCAGCCAGTGTTCAGTGTGTTAAAATATTCATGTCCACCAACTTTTTATTTCTTCCTGAGGTGATCTTGAATAGCAGTAAGTTTTGACCTTGATGGTCTTCATCAGGAACCTACATGGGCCAATACGTGTCACCTTAAAACACAGATGTCTGTGTGCAGACTTTAAATGTGCAGTTTTCTTTCGCATCAGTTTGAACATGGTGTGTGCACTTCATATACCTTCTGTAGATGTGTGCGGCTATATATGTTATATGTGTGTGTGTGTGTGTGTTTGTGTACCTGTGGAACCTCTGCACCTCATGGGCACTCCCCAGCATGTTGCTTCTCTCCTCAGCCAGCTGCTGCAGGGACCTCCAGCGGTTGTTCAGCTCCTACAAACACACCCCGGACACTGTTATCACCCAATCACAGAGGTAGACAGAGCTTCGACAGGATCCAATCAATCCCATGAGGCCTTTGCCGAGGTTTCTGGAACCCAGTGCTCCAATTTAGCCGATTCAAATTGAGTGAATGTTTATTGAATTGATAAATTACTTATTTTCAGGATGTTATTTAGATATATAGACTCTTGGTTGCATATCCTTCCGGATTGGGATAAATTCAATTTCAACTCAATGAATGAAAACAAAATTACTTCATTTATTAGATGAATTTGAACTCTTATCTGAATTGACTGAGTTACAAAGGAGCCCAGTGGAATGGAGCCGAATCCTGGTAATCTTGAGCAATGAGGGTCTTAAACTGATATCAGTTGTGAATATAAATTGTGAATCAGTAAAGGGCTCATTGATTCAGCTTGTGCGCCGTGTGTTTGACAGACAGACTGACGTAAAAGGAGGCTGTTGGATTTAAAAGGGGTTGGTAACGAGGAACATGGAAAGTCAGACTGGGAGATGAATGAATGTCAATGACGATACACAGGACGGAGAAACAATGGAGAGAGAAATGACAAAACGCTAGGGTAACAAAGATGGTGTTGAGGCATATTTCAATGCCTTTTGTACCAGCCTTCCTTCCTTTCGAAATCAAATAACAATGGTTAAAAGGAGAGGGGGGTGAGACAAAATAAAACAGGAATGAGGGCCGTTCAATGACATCGGCGACATGACGATAACAAAAATACCACGTAAGGACTGTAGACACGGACAGACTCCAGACCGATGATTGACAAGACAATGGAACCACAGGATGACCACGAACGCATGGCAAGACCACGTTGATAAAAGGGTTAGTCTCCAGAACCAACACGATGCAGGTATGAGACAAGCCAGGAGGACATAAATGCAAGGGGGGAGGAGGAGGGGGCGGGATCGAGGGAGTGGTCTTTAGAAATCTTACCTTGATAGTATTAAAGTTAGCCGTCGTTTGAACAGCCAAGCGTACATTCTACAATCAAAGGTGAAAAAAATCAGAGCAGAAAGGAGGGAGGACAGGAAAAGGGGGGGAGGAGGGGAGGGGGATTGGGACAAAAACAGAAAGGCACCATGTTAGCACAGCGGGGGGCTAAAGGCTGCCCATGTCTTCCACTGTTGCCCAAGAGACAGCCGGCACCATCGATGGCGATAGAAGACCAGCAGGCCCCAAACCACCAAAGGACCACCATTACCGTACATGCAGTGGACACGGAAACTAGAGCGCTGACTACAGCTCAGGGCAAAAGTTACCATGGGGGTTTATGTGTAGGCTGCGTCAACAAAGATACATATAATACCGTCTTCTAGCTAAATCCATCTATTGGTGTATCAACATGTGTCTGCGATGTGTGTTCAGCTGTTTTAGGTGTAATGAGGGTTCTAATAGGTCAAAATTACCTTACAACTCATGTTTTACCCTAATGAAACCCTAATAAACAGGTAGCTAGAGTAAACAAGTTCACTAGAGTAGCTAGTGAACAGTAGAGTACTTCTAAGTATAGAGTAGAATATATCGAATGGTGAGTGGTAAGTGCCAGGTCTTCCATTCATTTGCTTGTCTCTTGTTTGTGTTAACAAGTACGTCTTACATTAACTGTTGAAAGGTCCTATGAACAAGGCTGAATTAGTGGGCATGAATCCATGATTCAGGTTCATCCAAATATTTTGGACTCCCACAGTGTCAAAACCCCAATGCAGTTTAATCATGCTCAGATTCAAATGACGACAAGTCCAGATTGACAGGCTACATGCTGTCCAATCTTTTATGGACAAAATCGACATGGTCAGACTAAAACTATATAGTTAGGGAGACAAAATGCTTTGTTTGGATATCCATGAGACTATGTTGATTGGTCAAGACAGTCTTACCTTCCATGGTGAAGCATTTTTGGTATCGACATCATCCTGTTGGATCAAACAGGGAAATGTGGGTTACATGCATGATAGAAATAAACATTCTAGATACATTATACTGTTAAATCAAAATGTATTGAAACTCAGGAGTCGTCTTTACCTTGCCAGGTGTGGAACCCACCATTACTTGTTCCTGGAGAAAAAAAAATAGTAAAGTTGAGCTAATCGTTTTACACTGGTATCACTGGAAAGTGAATACCTTTGCTATTTTTCAAATAATGTAAAATAATCTCACACAAATACTAATAACAATTGCTTCATAGGCTTTCATCTTTGACAAATGAAATATATGACATATCTCTGCATTAGCGGGCTACATTACCTGAGCTTGGACCATGGTTGCCTCCTCGACCATCAGGCCCTCAGACTCCAGCTCAGACGCCACCTTGTTGATGTCCCTCAGACGAGACTCGTTGGCCTTCAGGTCCTGGTGGACACGCAAGGAGAAGAAAGAGTCAGTACACACATTTTATTCACCAAGGTACTGGTCGAGATGGGTATGGTAAGACCTGCAGTGCACATCACACTCCCCTGTGTTCTAGTATGTAGACATTATTAAATGCCTCTGCAACCGGGCTATTGAGGGTACTTGGAGTGGCAGCTCGCGTGCATCAAATTAGAGTTTATTTGTGCCAGTCAATCAAAAACCCACAGATCAGCAGTCTAGCTGTCTCTAGGAAGAAAATACCCTCATACTGTCTAAAATGTAGTACAGTGCATTCAGAAAGTATTCAGACCCCTTGACTTTTTCCACATTTTGTTACGTTACAGCCTTATTCTATTAATGGATTAAATAAATACAAATCATAATCAATCTACACACAATACCCCATAATGACAAATCAAAAACAGGTTTTTAGAAATGTTGGCAAATTGGTCAGGGAGGTGACCAAGAACCCCGATGGTCACTGACAGAGCTCCAGAGCTCCTCTGTGGAGATGGGAGAACCTTCCAGATGGACAACCATCTCTGCAGTACTCCACCAATCAGGTCTTTATGGTAGAGTGGCCAGACGGAAGCAACTCCTCAGTAAAAAGGCACATGATTGCCCACTTGGAGCTTGCCAAAAGGCACCTAAAGACTCTCAGACCATGAGAAACAAGATTATTTGGTCTGATGAAAGCACGGTGGTGGCAGCATCATGCTGTGGGGATGTTTTTCAGCGACAGGCACTGGGAGACTAGTCAGGATCGAGGGAAAGATGAACGGAGCAAAGTACAGAGAGATCCTTGATGAAAACCTGCTCCAGAGTGCTCAGGACCTCAGACTGGGGCGAAGGGTAACCTTCCAACAGGACAACGACCCTAAGCACACAGCCAAGACAACACAGGCGTGGCTTCGGGACAAGTCTCTGAATGTCCTTGAGTGGCCCACCCAGAGCCCAGACTTGAACCCGATCTAACATCTCTGAAGATACCTGAAAATAGCTGTGCAGCGACACTCCCCATCCAACCTGACAGAGCTTGAGAGGATCTGCAGAGAAGAATGGTGTGCCAAGCTTGTAGCGTCATACCCAAGAAGACTCGAGGCTGTAATCGCTGCCAAAGGTGCTTCAACAAAGTACTGAGTAAAGGGTCTGAATACTTATGTATTTTTTAAATATTTTTTTTACACCTGCAAACATATCTAAAAAAAACAGTTTTTGCTTTGTCATTATGGGGTATTGTTTGTAGATTGATAAGGGGAAAAATCGTTTTAATCAATTTTAGAATACATTTACATTTAAGTCATTTAGCAGACGCTCTTATCCAGAGCGACAACAAAATGTGGAGAAAGTCAAGGGGTCTGAATACTTTCCAAATGCAATGTATATCCTGCAACCACTAACTTGTCTCTTACAGGTGGAGTGCACTTTAAAACAGAGTTCAACGGACAGGAGTTTTTTTATGCTTTTTGGTTCACTAAAGCCTAGGGCTAGGAATTGCCAGGGCCCCCACAATACGGTATTATTATAATACTTAGGTGCCGATACGATATGTATTGTGAATCGATACTGCTACAGAGGGACAAGAAAAAGCCATGAGAAAATGAGTTTTGATCAGTCATGGAAATAAAAGTGCTGAAAACATGTTGGCTCACCAAGATTGAGGCCAAGCTATAGAAGTAGAAATACCAGAGTTTTGGCGCAAGTACAGCTGACTAGCGCAAGCTAACGAACTATCTAGCAGAGAATCGATACTTGGGAGTCATAGAATCGATATATCGTCAAAAATAATATTACGATACCCTACTGTATCGATTCTTTCCCCTCATCACTACTAAAGCTTAAAAGGATGAAGCCCAGTAAGTCAGCTAGTGCCCTCTCCTATTCCCGGCGGCCATGTTGTGTGTGGCGTACCTTCTGGAAGTCGTCAAACTTCTTCTGCAGCACCTCCACCTGCTCCAGGTCGGAGCCCACCTCCTCGTTGGTGAGGGCTCCCTCCTTCTCGTTGATCCACTGCTGCAGTTCGTTAGCCTCTCGGAACAGCATGAACTTCTTGCAGCTCTTTTCTAGCATGTCCTTGCGCTTCTCGCCCAGCTCCAGGAGAGTGCCGTACCTAAAATTACAGGATGGAGGTTTTAGAATCCCCTTTGTGTAGAGCGAGAGAGCACGAGAGAGCACTGGAAGCAGTCACAAGGACTACGACATTGACAAGGGTATTGATTGAGGGAGTGGCAGGAATGGCAATGGCTGCGTTGCTCGTGGGAATGCGTGGTGACACCTAGAGGGGCACTCTGGTCCTACTCACAGTTCCTCCACCTGCTTCATGCGTACAGAAACACTGCAAGCCTCCTTTGCGACCGGCCTGCTCAGTCGCAAACATGACATGCGCAGGAAGGCGTTAGCGGTTAGAGAGGGAAACAGAGAGAGAGAGAGAGAGAGAGAGAGAGAGAGAGATCGAGAAAGAGAAAATGGCAAGGCTGTTAGTGACAGAAAGAGAGAAAAGGTTAAGTGCTACTGGCTCACTGAACTGTTATAATAAGGAAGAGACTAAAGGGAGACTAAGAAAAACAGAGCGAAAAGTAGAGGGACATTGAAGAGGTTGATTGTTAATTAGCTAGGCTAAGATATGAACGCGCATTTGTTCATTTCAAGAAACGTTAGAAAAACAGGTAATTAAATGACTCGGGTCAACAGGTTAAGTTCGAAGTTAAATAGGTAAAAAGGTGGTAAAGAACTACAGGAGTGTACTGAAGATGAGTACTGGGGCATGTAAGAGCAGAAGTCAGAAATTACAGTGGGAAAGGGATGGGGGTGGCAATTTGGAAGTGGGTTAGGTAGGAGGAGGCCCTTACTGGTTCTCGATCTGGTCCTGGCGGAGGCCGATGCTGCCCTGCTCGTCCAGCAGGTTCTCCCTGGAGGAGGACTGGGTGGGGTCTAGCTTCTTGACGTAGGCCGCTGGCACAAAGCCCTGGCGGTCGTTCACCTCCACCTTCCACCAGTCCTTCAGCAGGCGAGAGAAGGTCAGATGAAGGCTGAATATGCATCCCATTCAGTTCATACTATCTTGGCTTATACCTATCAAATTATTTCCGTTCTACATCAAGTGCCTAGTCATGGGTACGGGCTAGCAGCAGTTGTTTGTGGACCAGGCCCTGCTTGGAGCAAGGCTTTTGTTCATCTCGCTAAGATGGTCACTTTATTTTATTATCCTGTGTGTGTGTGTGTGTGTGTGTGTGTGTGTACCTTGTTGGTGCTGTTGAGCAGGGTGAGGATGTCTCCCTTCTTCATGGTGACCTCACGGGGGCTCTTCTCCTGGTAGTCATAGAGGGCCAGCACCAGCTCCTTGCCAGTCTCATCATCGGTGGGCGCAACTTGTTGCTGCAGGTGGAAAGGAAAAAAGTATTAAGAGGTGCAATCTAGACAATGGCAACATGAAAATATCAGTTTGAGTCTATAATAGACCTGGAGTAGTAAAGAAATGATTGATTTGTTGGACATCTGGTTCTCAGATGTTTGCAAAGACGGGAAATATAGTTTAATTGTTCATAGAATGTTAGCTAGCTAGTTTAGGCATTTATAAGTTGTAAAATGGTGTACATTCATTTCACGATAAGACTAAAGATGTAATGTGGGTTCCAGACTCACCCTGCAGGACTGGGCCTGCTCCTTCAAAGCCTGGATGCTGCTGCCATAAGCACTCAGGTCAGACATCAGGGCTTCGTGCTTCTTCAGCAGGGCCTCAGCTGAATCCTCATCCTTGCCGTAGTCGGGGCTGGCCACAATGGGCTCCTTCTCCCTCATCCAGGACTCTGCCTCGTTGGCGTCGGCAAAGTACTGCTGTGCCTGCAGTGAGTCCTCCAGGTCCTGCCTGCGCTGCCCGGCCTTGCCTTTCAGGGTGTCCCAGCGGCCGTTCAGCTCCCCCAGCTTCACCTTAACCTCCTCCCCAGCAAAGTGTCCTGGTGGGGACCACAGGGAGAGGGGGGTTGTTTATTTACAGTGCCTTCAGAAAGCATTCACACCCCTAAACTTTTTCCACATTTTGTTGCGTCACATGGATTGGTAATTTTTGGTCAGTGATCTACACAAAATACTCTCATACAGTGGGGAGAACAAGTATTTGATACACTGCCTATTTTGCAGGTTTTCCTACTTACAAAGCATGTAGAGGTCTGTAATTTTATCACAGGTACACTTCAACTGTGAGAGACGGAATCTAAAACAAAAATCCAGAAAATCACATTGTATGATTTTTAAGTAATTAATTTGCATTTTATTGCATGACATAAGTATTTGATCACCTACCAACCAGTAAGAATTCCGGCTCTCACAGACCTGTTAGTTTTTCTTTAAGAAGCCCTCCAGTTCTGCACCCATTACCTGTATTAACTGCACCAGTTTGAACTCGTTACCTGTATAAAAGACACCTGTTCACACACTCAATCAAACAGACTCCAACCTCTCCACAATGGCCAAGACCAGAGAGCTGTGTAAGGACATCAGGGATAAAATTGTAGACCTGCACAAGGCTGGGATGGGCTACAGGACAATAGGCAAGCAGCTTGGTGAGAAGGCAACAACTGTTGGCGCAATTATTAGAAAATGGAAGAAGTTCAAGATGATGGTCAATCACCCTCGGTCTGGGGCTCCATGCAAGATCTCACCTCGTGGGGCATCAATGATCATGAGGAAGGTGACGGATCAGCCCAGAACTACACGGCAGGACCTGGTCAATGACCTGAAGAGAGCTGGGACCACAGTCTCAAAGAAAACCATTAGTAACACACTACGCCGTCATGGATTAAAATCCTGCAGCGCACGCAAGGTCCCCCTGCTCAAGCCAGCGCATGTCCAGGCCCGTCTGAAGTTTGCCAATGACCATCTGGATGATCCAGAGGAGGAATGGGAGAAGGTCATGTGGTCTGATGAGACAAAAATATAGCTTTTTGGTCTAAACTCCACTCGATGTGTTTGGAGGAAGAAGAAGGATGAGTACAACCCCAAGAACACCATCCCAACCGTGAAGCATGGAGGTGAAACATCATTCTTTGGGGATGCTTTTCTGCAAAGGGGACAGGACAACTGCACCGTATTGAGGGGAGGATGGATGGGGCCATGTATCGCGAGATCTTGGCCAACAACCTCCTTCCCCAGTAAGAGCATTGAAGATGGGTCGTGGCTGGGTCTTCCAGCATGACAACGACCCGAAACACACAGCCAGGGCAACTAAGGAGTGGCTCCGTAAGAAGCATCTCAAGGTCCTGGAGTGGCCTAGCCAGTCTCCAGACCTGAACCCAATAGAAAATCTTTGGAGGGAGCTGAAAGTCCGTATTGCCCAGCGACAGCCCCGAAACCTGAAGGATCTGGAGAAGGTCTGTATGGAGGAGTGGGCCAAAATCCCTGCTGCAGTGTGTGCAAACCTGGTCAAGACCTACAGGAAACGTATGATCTCTGTAATTGCAAACAAAGGTTTCTGTACCAAATATTAAGTTCTGCTTTTCTGATTTATCAAATACTTATGTCATGCAATAAAATGCAAATGAATTACTTAAAAATCATACAATGTGATTTTCTGGATTTTTGTTTTAGATTCCGTCTCTCACAGTTGAAGTGTACCTATGATAAAAATTACAGACCTCTACATGCTTTGTAAGTAGGAAAACCTGCAAAATCGGCAGTGTATCAAATACTTGTTCTTCCCACTGTATCAAAGTGCAAGAAAAATTCGAACATTTGTAAAACATTTATGAAAAATAAAACATTTTTATTAGATGAGTATTCACAGCCCTGAGTCAATACATGTTAGAATCACCTTTGGCAGCGATTACAGCTGTGAGTCTTTCTGGGTAAGTCTCTAAGAGCTTTCCACACCTGGATTGTACAACATTTACCCATTAATCTTTTCAAAATTCTTCAAGCTCTGTCAAATTGGTTGTTGATCATTGTTAGACAAGCATATTCAGGTCTTGCCATCAGTGGCGACCCACCTGTTTTGAGCCCCACCTATTTAGCAAAATATTATAATAAAAAAATTTTGCTGCCTGTTTTGCATGTTATTTTGGCATTAATACGTGTCACATATCAGTTTGCAAACATCATTAAGTTAATAAAGCTGCATACAAACATGGTCTCTTTTTTGCTTTCTTGAGTAAGGCAGCTCCAAAATGCCTAGCTCAGTGCTTTCTGTGGTGGTTGGGCAGCCAGTGGAAAATACGGAGTAGGGGTTGGTAACGTTCTCTAGTTGCGCCGTGATTGGCTCAGTGTTCTGTCACTCATGGGGACACTAAGTCACCGCAAAATCTACGGGGAGAGCTCAAAAATTCAAGCCCCTTGGGTGCTGCCATAGATTTACATTAGAAGTGCCCATCCAAGAAGGCTCAAGGTCATTGGACACAGATCAAATGACGTCAAATCTACCGTAGCTTTGATTGGCTAGCATGTCAACATCATACTTTCAAAATCTTAGCTAGCAAGCAGTCATCATCATGAATCAAGTCGACAATCTACTGGCAAATCCTTTTCAATCCTTGTCATATGAAGAGAAATTATAGACAAAACGTATCGGTGCTCATCGGCCATTGGACATAAACATTACACAACAAGTTGGAAATCGCAAATTCAACAATGAGTGGTTTGGAAGGAATCAGTGGCTAACTGCAAACGTTGCAAAGCAATCACTAGCCTGCTATTCAGTGGAGTGGGTGTGTGGTCCAAGTCTGGGTTTAAGGGTCTCTTTTCCAAGCTTAAAAAGGATAAACATTCACATGCAACACCATGGGCCAGAAAAGGCTGAATAAATTGGCCATGCTGTCAATCCAGCATGACTTCTGCCTTTTTCAAAACAACTGGAAACTCGGAAATCTCAGACTTCAGTGAGTTCATGACAACTGGGAACTCAAAAAAAAAATTGCTCCGACTGGGAAAATAAGTTTTGAATGGTCATCCAACTCAGAATTCCAAGTTGGGAATTCGGACCTCTTTCTAGAGCTCCGACCTGAAGATCACTGACGTTATGATTCAACCTTGTTCCCAGTTGTCTTGAAAGAACCATAAATCCAGAGAATGCCAGACTTTGATGACAAAGTTTGATGACAACTTCTTCCCCACGAAGGACCGCCGCGCCACCTTCTTGTTCAAGGTGAGTCCAAAAATGTATTGTATACTGATGCATAAATTATGTAGTATACCTGGGCGATATGTATACTGTAGCTAAGAAAGTAATACTAAGTGTATGTTGTGTAGTAAGCTGTTAGTAGCCCATGTGTCTCACCCTAATAATTTGGTCCCTTTCCCCCTCATAACTTAGCCTACTGTTTTGACTTGGTGGTGCACATGTATCCTATAGCCTGTTTTAGAGAAATGTAATCATCAAATATTGTAAGAGCTTTCATTGTTTGCTTATATGCCCCCTTTATTTATCCTACGGTTCTGACTTGGTGTACAGGGAGAATACTGTAAGAACGGCCCATGTTCTTAATTCTGTCGCAGTACATTTCAAAAGTGCTAAACAAATACACTGCTCAAAAAAATAAAGGGAACACTTAAACAACACAATGTAACTCCAAGTCAATCACACTTCTGTGAAATCAAACTGTCCACTTAGGAAGCAACACTGATTGACAATACATTTCACATGCTGTTGTGCAAATGGAATAGACAACAGGTGGAAATTATAGGCAATTAGCAAGACACCCCCCAATGAAGGACTGGTTTTGCAGGTGGTGACACAGACCACTTCTCAGTTCCTATGCTTCCTGGCTGATGTTTTGGTCACTTTTGAATGCTGGCGGTGCTTTCACTCTAGTGGTAGCATGAGACGGAGTCTACAACCCACACAAGTGGCTCAGGTAGTGCAGCTCATCCAGGATGGCACATCAATGCGAGCTGTGGCAAGAAGGTTTGCTGTGTCTGTCAGCGTAGTGTCCAGAGCATGGAGGCGCTACCAGGAGACAGGCCAGTACATCAGGAGACGTGGAGGAGGCCGTAGGAGGGCAACAACCCAGCAGCAGGACTGCTACCTCCGCCTTTGTGCAAGGAGGAGCAGGAGGAGCACTGCCAGAGCCCTGCAAAATGACCTCCAGCAGGCCACAAATGTGCATGTGTCTGCTCAAACGGTCAGAAACAGACTCCATGAGGGTGGTAGGAGGGCCCGACGTCCACAGGTGGGGGTTGTGCTTACAGCCCAACACCGTGCAGGACGTTTGGCATTTGCCAGAGAACACCAAGATTGGCAAATTCGCCACTGGCGCCCTGTGCTCTTCACAGATGAAAGCAGGTTCACACTGAGCACATGTGACAGACGTTACAGAGTCTGGAGACGCCGTGGAGAACGTTCTGCTGCCTGCAACATCCTCCAGCATGACAGGTTTGGCGGTGGGTCAGTCATGGTGTGGGGTGGCATTTCTTTGGGGGGCCGCACAGCCCTCCATGTGCTCGCCAGAGGTAGCCTGACTGCCATTAGGTACCGAGATGAGATCCTCAGACCCCTTGTGAGACCATATGCTGGTGCAGTTGGCCCTGGGTTCCTCCTAATGCAAGACAATGCTAGACCTCATGTGGCTGGAGTGTGTCAGCAGTTCCTGCAAGAGGAAGGCATTGATGCTATGGACTGGCCCGCCCGTTCCCCAGACCTGAATCCAATTGAGCACATCTGGGACATCATGTCTCGCTCCATCCACCAACGCCACGTTGCACCACAGACTGTCCAGGAGTTGGCGGATGCTTTAGTACAGGTCTGGGAGGAGATCCCTCAGGAGACCATCCGCCACCTCATCAGGAGCATGCCCAGGCGTTGTAGGGAGGTCATACAGGCACGTGGAGGCCACACACACTACTGAGCCTCATTTTGACTTGTTTTAAGGACATTACATCAAAGTTGGATCAGCCTGTAGTGTGGTTTTCCACTTTAATTTTGAGGGTGACTCCAAATCCAGACCTCCATGGGTTGATACATTTGATTTCCATTGATACTTTTTGTGTGATTTTGTTGTCAGCACATTCAACTATGTAAAGAAAAAAGTATTTAATAAGATTATTTCATTCATTCAGATCTAGGATGTGTTATTTTAGTGTTGCCTTTATTTTTTTGAGCAGTGTAGTTATATTAACTACGTCCGTCCTATCGCGCTCATTAATGTCTTAATCGAAATTAGGGACTGCCTCTTATCAGCTCGTCGTCTCCTTATGCCATAGTTTGTACTCCTGAGTGGCGCAGTGGTCTAAGGCACTGCATCGCAGTGCTAACTGTGCCACTAGAGATCCTGGTTCGAATCCAGGCTCTGTCGCAGCCGGCCGCGACCGGGAGACTCATGGGCGGCCCACAATTGGCCCAGCGTCGTCCAGGGTAGGGGAGGGAATGGCCGGCAGGGATGTAGCTCAGTTGATAGAGCATGGCGTTTGCAACGCCAGGGTTGTGGGTTTGTTTCCCACGGGGGGCCAGTATAAAAAAATATGTATTCACTAACTGTAAGTTGCTCTGGATAAGAGCATCTGCTAAATGACTAAAAATGTAAAAATGTAAATTGTCAGTAGAAACCACATTTGTTTAAGCAAGTCAGCCATAAGCTCTGTTTGTTTTTTAAAGGCAGTAAATTAGGCTGAATGAATGGTTTCGCTGCCAGAAAAGGCTCCGCTGATATCCAGGTGTTGCAGACTGAACCAGGTTCTCCTCTAGGATTTTTCCAATGCTTAGCTCCGTTCAGTTTCTTTTTTATCCTGAAAAACTCCTCAGTCCTTAACAATTACAAGCATACCCATAACATTATGCAGCCACCACTATGCTTAAAAATATGGACAGTGGTACTCAGTAATGTGTTGTATTGAATTTGCCCCCAAACCTAACAAATGTTTTGCTGTATTACTTTAGTGCCTTGTTGCAAATATGATGAATGTTTTGGACAGGCTTCCTTTTCACTCTGTCAATTAGGTTAGTATTGTGGAGTAACTACAATGTTGTTGATCCATCCTCAGTTTTCTCCTATCACAGCCATTAAACTCTAACTATTTTAAAGTCACCATTGGCCTCATGGTGAAAGGGTTGGGACAATTCCATTTCAATTCAATTCAATTCAGGAAGTAAACTATAATTAACTGATTGAAATGGAATTGACCCAAACCTGCTAGATAGTCAAGAGGTGAACAGTTGAAAAAAAAAGGAGACAGAAGGGCCTATGCATGTTCGTAAGAAACAGCTCACCTTCCTCTACCATAGCCTCTCCTTTCTGGGTGACGGCCTTGATGCGGGGCTCGTGGCCGGCGATCTCCGCCTGCAGGGCCTGGTGCTTCTTCAGCAAGTTCTGGACGCCGATCAGGTCTTTTCCCCGGTTGGTGGAGGCGGCGATGGGCTCCTTCTCCCGGATCCAGGTCTCCTCGTCCTCCACGTCCCTGAAGAGCTGCTGCAGCCGCAGGGAGTCCGACAGCTTCTGCTTGCGGGCGGCCATAGGGTCGCGGAGGGCATCGTAGCGCGCCACCAGCGCCTCCTGCTTGCGCTTGATGTTGTCGCCGTCAAAGTGGCCTGCCTCCTGGAACTGACGCGCCTGGATGGTGATGCCGTCGATGCGGTCCTGGAGAGAGAGAGAGAGAGAGAGAGAGGGAGAGTCAGTCAGCCAGCCAACTAACTACCTGGTGGCAGTAAAGGCATCCGCATGCTTCCCATCCAAAACAGGTTTGGAACAGTTCATGCATATATTATGATGACGACATTGTGACGTTTTTCTTCGTTTTGGTCTTCGGCAAGGGTTTTCTCGGCTGTTCGTGCACACAAATTTTTTTTCTTGAGGGAAGTCGAAGTCGGTAGCCAAAGTCTACACCCCTTCGTAGGTGATTGGTCAACAGTAGGTATTCTTCAATGAAGTGTGTTGTCATTCAACGATAGACTAATCGTTTTCATGCAAATGTTTTCACTTGAGAAATACTACACCAAACATCATAGTTAGATGTAATATTGCACGACAAAGATCTCCTCTCCAAAAACATCCAAATTATAGACAGACGCTACAGCGTCTCAAGACGGAGAAACATTATTGCCGCTTTTTTCTCGTTTTTAAAGGGAAGGTCTTTTAAGGGAGTAAGCGAGCACACTAGTTTGGTTCGCCTAGCCGAGTTCGGCTAGGTGCCAGCCGAACCGAAGCATGCCGACGCCTTAAGTCAGTCAGCCAGTCTTACCTTATGCGCAGCCAGACCGCATAAGTCAACACAAATATTTGAATGGCTGAATGTTATAGACCATAATGATGTCACTGCAACCAGGCTATAGAGGCTACTTGGATTTGCAGCTCCCATGCATAAAATCTGAGTTTATTTGTGCCGGTCAATCAAAAACCCACAGATCAGCACAGAACAACTGTCGCTAGAAACCACCAGGCATGGATGGGATTCTTATGAGAAGGAGAAACACAGTCTAGCTGGTCCCAGAGGTAAATGAAACAGTGTCTGTAAGTAGTTAACTTGAGTAACACCCAAACATTGACCTGGAGGCTACTGGTGATGTTGTTCTCCAGTTACCTGGTGGCTGTCAGTCAGTTATCTAGTGGTGATATGGAAGTCACTTGGCGCGTTCGAGTGGATCAAAACCGTGGTTCATTGTGGGTAAATTGGGACTTACTGACCTACAAATTATAATGAGTAGTTATATATGATGCAAGGTGATTTGTAGATCAGTCAGCAGTTGCCTGCACTGTCGGCTGCAATGTCAAACAAGCCCTTTACCTGGTGGGCAGCCACGTCAGCCTCCAGCAGGGCGTGCTTCTTCTGCAGGTTCTGGACACTGGTCAGGTCCTTGCCGTAGTCATCTGAAGCCAGGTGGCCCTCCACCTCATACAACCACAGCTCAATGTCCTCCACGTTTCTGTTGAACTGCTGCTGCTGGTTGGCCTCGCGCAGCTTGATGCCTGGGGGAGAGGAGAGCGTGGTGAGGAGAGGTTTAGGAGTGGTTGAAATGAAGTTGGATGTGAGAATTAAAAAAAGGAGGAAGGGTATTTCTAGGTTCAAAGGTTTTGTTTAAAATCTTGGGGCTCCAAAATGACCTTGTCCAGTATCTAACAGCTAGTCACATTACAAGATAACAAAAGCACCTTCACTTTGAAACGTTACTCTCCAATAGATGCGGTAAAGAGGTCAATGGAACTCGTCCAAAAGACTGTAAATGCCATGGAAACGTGTGGGGGAAAGATCCCGAATCGCCTCATTGCCCCCCAGCAAAATTAGCCTACATATAGCCTATTGTTAATATGTGTATTTCACACTATGTTGAGGTAACAATCAGAGTATAATGCTTGTATGGATGTCAACCCCAATACATGTTCACGTCATCGTCACCAATCAACTGCATTAGTTAAAAGCGACTGACTACCACCACCGATGTCTCTATGCTAGCTATGAGAAAGTCAGTTGCACAACTGAATGCATTCAATCAAAATGGGTCTTCCGCATTTAACCCAACCCCTCTGAATCAGAGAGGTGCGGGGGGCTGCCTTAATCGACATCCACGTCATCGGCGCCTGGGGAGCAGTTGTTGTTGGAGGTTAACTGCCTTGCTCAAGGGCAGAATGGCAGATTATTCCACCTTGCTAGCTCGGGGATTCGAACCAGTAAACTTTCGGTTACTGGCCGAACGCTCTTAACCGCTTAGCTACCTATGCTACCAGCTTATACGAACGGGAGTTAGCATTTAGAAGACACTTCTTCTAAACCTGAAAAGGGACTACTTCTAAAATGTTATGCAGCGAAACAGCCAAATATATCCTAATCAGATTTTAGCAACCACATTGTGGGCGTTACAATGCATCAATCACGACGGATTGTTAGATCAGACTTGTTGAATGTGCGCCAATCCGCCGTCCTTCTATCCCCCACGGTCTGCATTCCATTGACCTCTTTACCGCATCTATTCACCAGCATTGCCGCCATTTTCTACTACCTCCACTTGAGGGAAACACAAAATGGCGATCGCTATAATAATAGCCACACACTTCATCCGAACTTCACCTCTCCTCCACTCTCGTTTTCTCACCTTTGAGCTCGGTGGCCTCCAGCAGCTTCTTCCACTGGGAGCTAACCTCGTCCATGCGTACAGACACCTCGTCGGCGGCGTAGTGCTTCCCGTCCAGGAGCTCCTGGCCAGACTTCTGCAGAGCGTCGATGCGGCTCTGGTTGGCTGACAGCTCCGCCTCGAAGGCTTGGTGCTTCTGGACCTTGCCCTGCAGGTTGGACGGGTCCTGGGGACAACAGAGAAAGCAGAGAGATGGTTGCTATTAGGCCAGAGAGGACTGTGAATAAGAATCTGTGTGGTTCACGGTGGTATTGTATCCTAATGGGATCTCGTAGCAGTCTAGGAGAAAGCCATGTTGAGCATTGAAAACCCATTATAAAGTAGCTAGCTAACTAGCTAAAAGTATACCACTATAAAGTAGCTAGCTAAAGTACCTAACTAAGAAACATTGGTTCCCAACCGTACCTTGTAGGCTTCGTCGGTGGCCGTCTTCATCTTCTCATTGATCCAGCTCTTGAGTTCGTCCGAGTCGCGGAAGAACTGCTGCAGGTGGAAGGAGTCCTCCAGAGCGGCGCGGCGGGACTGGGCACGCTCGTGCAGGGCGTTGCGGCGGCTCAGCAGCTACAGGGGGCAACACAGATGGGGATGACATTTTATACACAACACCCAGAATATGATATAAACAGATATAGAGAGTTCAAAGTGCTCCAAAGATAGGACACATTCCGGTCCTTATCGTATTAATGTGTAGTGTGCAGAATGTTTCCCCTCTGTACTTACCGCATCTCTACGAGTGGCAACATCCTCCTTGGCATAGTGGTTGTTCTGGATCAGTTTGGTGGCAAATTCATCCAGGGCCTAAAGAGAAAGAGGTCAGTGGTTAAGTTTAAGATTTGAGGAGAGAAAGCTGATCCTAGCTCTATGGTTATGACTAGGACAAGTACTCACAGTGATTTTCTCCTCCTGGGCGCTGAGGGACTTCTCAAAGTCCTCGTGTTTCTTCAGCAAGGCCTCCACGCTGTCCAGAGAGTCACCAAGATCCTCGTTCAGAAGGAAAGCCTGGACGCACACAAAAAAACAGACTTGTATATTAGGATCACGCACCACACCATTTCTGGAGAATAATACTTTTTGGGTGAGTACATTGTTTATTATTGTGTGTGGATGGAGATACCTCTTGCTTGCTCATCCAGTTGTCGACCTGCTCTGTGTCCCTGTAGAAGAGTTGCAGGTCCATGCACTGCTCGTACTGCTGCCTGCGCACCTCCCACAGCTCCAGCAGAGAGTCCTTCTCCTCAGTCAGGACACCAAGCTACACATAAAAATAAACAAGGGAAAAGGGGGATCAATGAATCTGTCTGGAAATCCATGTTAAAAGTATGAATCCAAAACCAAGGACAGAAACAGTGGGAGAGAGAGGGAGACAGAAACAGAATGCCAGTCCTACCTTCTCCTTGACCTCCTCTGCGGCGTAGTGTCCGGTGTTGAGCAGGGCCTGACCGGCTTCGTCCGTGGCTTTGAAGCTGTCCTCATGGGCATCAATCTCACCCTAAGGACCACACACACACAGTAAACATCAGCAACATTGCAGGGAAAATGAGCATCACTGATTGTAGTTCTGAGAAGTACTTTTCAACTGCTAAAATAAAGTTGATTAATTTCAGTGTGTTCCTATACCTTGTGCTCCTGGTGGCGGTCGAGGAGAGCCTCGGCTCCGGCTACGTCGTTGGCCAGCTCGTCAGCGTTGATCAGGGCCTTCATCTCCGTCACCCAGCTGGTCAGGTCACGGAAGTCTGCAGTGTAGCGCTGCAGCCTGCAGGGGGCCAAACACACAGACAGTCAGAGAGGGTTCTACATACTTTCAACTAAACTGATATATGAGTTGTTTGATCATGCTATTGTTGGGTGGTCGCTGTGTGTTGAGCGCAGTGGTGTTACGATAACGTTACGGTGGTGACATAGTAACGTTACGGTGTTGACACAGTAAAGCTACAGCGTGTTCGCTGTTAGGGCGGCCAGAGTGGTACCGGTACCCACCTGTAGGAGTCGTTGAGGTGGGCGTGGCGCTCGGCGGCCAGTGTGCGGATCTGCTCCCAGTTGGTGATGAGCTCGTCCCTCTTCAGGTGGATCTGGGAAGCGTTCTGGGGGTGGGTCTGCTGCAGACGTTCAGCCTCTCCCCCCAGAGTGTTGACCTTGTCCTCCAGGGCAGCCAGGTCTCTCTCCAGGCCCTCGTGCTTGCGCAGCAGGGCCTGAACGCTGGCCAGGTCCCGGCCAAAGTCATCGGACGCCATGAGCTGCTCCTTCTCCTTGATCCAGCTGATGGTCTCGTCCACATCCCTGGAGGCCACATAACACACTCAGTCAGAACACTAAATCAACATTTCTTGATCCTCTCAGTTCTCTTGTGGCTTCTCTATCACACAGACACCCACACTCCAAAAAAACTCACACCCAAACATACACACAGTCCGTCCTGGACATACCTGTTGAAGCGCTGCACCTCGGCGGCTCCAAACAGCCTGCCCTGCCTCTGCTGCGCCAGGCCCTTGAGCCTCTGCCACGCGGCGTTCACCTCCTCCTGCTTGCGGACGATGAGCTCCGCCTCGGGGTGAGACTCCTGGCTCAGCTTGCCTGCCAGCTGGTTCACTTCGTTCACGCGCTCCTCGTGAGCCGCCAGGTCCGTCTGGAACTCCTCAAACTTCTTCTGGAGCACCTCCACATGCTCCAAGTCCTGGCCCAGCTCCTCCGAGGTGGCCATGGCCTCCTGTTAGACACGGTTTAGGATTAGGGTTAGGATAGGTTATCTAGTAGGGTCCTGTAGACATGGTTTAGGGAGGCTAATGTTTAGCATAGGTTGTCTTTAGGGTCCTATGGAAATGGTCTCCTGTTGGACATGATTTAGGTTAAGGTCATGTTGCTCATTAGGGTCTCGTAGACATGGTTTAGGCCATGGCCTCCAGTAGTTATGTGTGTGTGTGTGTGTGTGTGTGTGTGTGTGTGTGTGACTACAGGTTGAGACACTGACCTTGTCACTAATCCAGTCCAGGGCATCCTCACACTCGCGCAGGTACTGCACCAGCTTCTGGGCCTGCAGTAGACGAACACCTTTCTCCTTGGTCTTCTGCAGCAGCAGGTCCCAAAGACGGTGCAGCTCCTCCAGACGAGTCTGTAGGCAGAAAGGGAGACAATTTGCACCGGGGAAGGGAAGTGCTGATCTAGGATCAGGTCCCCTCTGTCAATATAACCTTATTCATTATGATCAAAAGGGAAATCAGGGCCTGTATTCATAAAGCATCTCACAGTAGGAATGCTGACCTAGGATCAGGCCGCCCCGTCCGTGTGATCTTGTTCATTATGATCCAAAAGTTAAAACTGATCCTAAATTAGCACTCCTAATCTGAAACGCTTTATGAATATGGGCCCAGTACTTGCTGAGGCTGTAGTTTGAGACCAAGATAAGTGCTTATCAATGGAACATTTTAGAAATATCTTCTTCTGTAAAATGTTCCTTTTAGTCACACACATCATGCACTTTTCATAAAGTCTTCTTAAATATTGCATAACCACACAGCAAACAATACAGAACAATGGATCTGACAGAAGTGGAGTGGAACCTAAAAGTGAGAGAAACAGAAGAGCCAGGAGGTCGACAGCACTCAAGCACCTACTTTTATATACTCAGCCATATTGAAACTTGAGACAATGGGTCTCTGGAAAGTCCGGTAGGGCGTGAAGGACTGAACCAGACATGATCGGGTTAAAAAGGGTAGATTGTGTAGTTCTATCTTGGTTAGGCATATAGCTCAGCGGAGTGTGTGCGTGTGTCTTACCCGGATGGTTTCGGAGGCAAAGTGGCCCTCGGAGATCATGAGGTTGCCAGTCTCGTCAAGCTTGATGATGGCCCCAGCGTTGGCCTGCACCTCCGCCTCGAAGGCCTGGTGTTTCTGGAGCTTGCCCTGTGGGGGGGGAGAGGAGGCTTGTTAGCATGGCACAAAGAACACAGTGGACAGGACAGACATACCTGGCCAAGGGTCACAGCATAGAGGGTTTAATGATGTACTGATCATTCTGTGTGTGTGGTTTTATGGCCATGCTGTTTCGTTTTGAATGGCCACTGGCAAGCCTTAAAGCCAGTAAATTCACAAGAAGTGGCTCGTGCATCATAAAGGTTACAATCAAATCAGGATCTTTACTTCAGTCCTCACTTTTTTTCTATGCCCAGCTTACAGCTCCACCCAAGTCAAAGTCATGATTTATCTTATTAGCCTCAAGTGGCTTCCTATCCTCATCTCCTGTCCATCTGCACTGACCTGGAGGTTGGTGGGGTCCTTGTAGTTCTCGTCAGAGGCGATCTGCAGCTTCTCCTGGATCCACTTCTCCAGCTCGTCGGCATCGCGGCGGAAGAACTGGAAGCGGTAGGAGTCCTCCAGCTTCTGCCGGCGCACGCCCGACAGCTCCTTGAAGCGCCGGTAGCGGTCCAACACCTGCTGACGGCGCTCCTGGATGTCATCGGCAGACTCCAGCACTTTCACCCCACTGGTATCCATTCTCTGATGACACAGAAATACAGGAGGGAAATTAGGATTTATAACTTTTTATAATTTTACAGGAGTAGCCCATTGTTATATAATATATACAAATATAATTACTGAGGGGCTTTGCCTGTTCTAGTAATTATATTTCCGTTGTAGGCTAATCATTAATACTGCTTACTATTTGCAACACAATGTTTCAGCTGGAACGTTTGTTTTCTAGTTGTCAACATTAATAGTTCCTACAATTGGGATGAGTGGATGAGAATGCCAGCAGCCATCTTAACAAATGCATGAGTGTATGAACAAGATGGCTGCTACCATTTGTCCATCCCTTTGAATAGAACAAAAATAATGATCCAACTGAGCCTGCCATGGTTACGCTAGCATGCACATTGAGTTTTTCTTCTTGCCAGTTATCCGATTTCTCGCATCTTTGCTTCTTTAGGCCTTTAAAACACAAGAGCTCGTAGAAACTCAATAGCTGTGGAGGACTTCCAAAAGGAGTTCCAAATGTCACACAGTGCAGTTTTCTTTTACATCATTATTTTCTCTTTCCCTGGGGGCATTTGAACACAGTGCAGACTTTATGGATCTCTACTCACCACACAAAAACAGATCTAGAGGAAATGCCGAAATTTCACGTAAGACACGCAACTTTGTGGAGGAGAACGAGACAAGGCTAAACTATGCTATGAATTGACAAAAACTCCCCAGTGAAGTAGCCAGCTCCACTCCAGTCAAACAGCTAATAACACGAGTATGTCATGGAGGGGGGGAGATAGGCGGAAATTCCACACAGCTCTGAACAAACAGTAACCAGGCCCCCGTGCACAATAGGACTGCTGCTGTCAGCCCAAACACAGGCCCTCACCCCCCCTCACACCCAGCCTATACATTCCAAACCCCACCCATCCAACCATACACCAGGAGAGAGTGGAAGCCAGTAGGGAGAGAGCAGTAGGGTGAGGTAAACAGTCAGGGTCAGTGTCACCCACCCTGTATTCTCGTCCCCCAGCCTGGATAGCAGAGAGGGGCTGTAAGACGACCACACCCTGGTAGTGGCTGTAACTCAGTCGCAACAAGGCAGGCATACTCCAAATGCTTCCTCTCACACATGAATGTGGGAAGTGGGCTACACATGTGGTGCTATTTCAGGAGTGAGGGGGAATTACCATCCAACGATTTAGGCCTTTGAAGCTGATGTAACAGTGAACTGTATCAGCTACATTGCATTCAAGATGGCAAGTTGGACCATTTTCCATCACTGAATATACAGTGGGGGGAAAAGTATTTAGTCAGCCACCAATTGTGCAAGTTCTCCCACTTAAAAAGATGAGAGAGGCCTGTAATTTTCATCATAGGTACACGTCAACTATGACAGACAAAATGAGGAAAAAAATCCAGAAAATCACATTGTAGGATTTTTAATGAATTTATTTACAAATTATGGTGGAAAATAAGTATTTGGTCAATAACAAAAGTTTCTCAATACTTTGTTATATACCCTTTGTTGGCAATGACACAGGTCAAACGTTTTCTGTAAGTCTTCACAAGGTTTTCACACACTGTTGCTGGTATTTTGGCCCATTCCTCCATGCAGATCTCCTCTAGAGCAGTGATGTTTTGGGGCTGTCGCTGGGCAACACAGACTTTCAACTCCCTCCAAAGATTTTCTATGGGGTTGAGATCTGGAGACTGGCTAGGCCACTCCAGGACCTTGAAATGCTTCTTACGAAGCCACTCCTTCGTTGCCCGGGCGGTATGTTTGGGATCATTGTCATGCTGAAAGACCCAGCCACGTTTCATCTTCAATGCCCTTGCTGATGGAAGGAGGTTCTCACTCAAAATCTCACGATACATGGCCCCATTCATTCTTTCCTTTACACAGATCAGTCGTCCTGGTCCCTTTGCAGAAAAACAGCCCCAAAGCATGATGTTTCCACCCCCATGCTTCACAGTAGGTATGGTGTTCTTTGGATGCAACTCAGCATTCTTTGTCCTCCAAACACAACGAGTTGAGTTTTTACCAAAAAGTTATATTTTGGTTTCATCTGACCATATGACATTCTCCCAATCCTCTTCTGGATCATCCAAATGCACTCTAGCAAACTTCAGATGGGCCTGGACATGTACTGGCTTAAGCAGGGGGACACGTCTGGCACTGCAGGATTTGAGTCCCTGGCGGCGTAGTGTGTTACTGATGGTAGGCTTTTTTACTTTGGTCCCAGCTCTCTGCAGGTCATTCACTAGGTCCCCCCGTGTGGTTCTGGGATTTTTGCTCACCGTTCTTGTGATCATTTTGACCCCACGGGGTGAGATCTTGCGTGGAGCCCCAGATCGAGGGAGATTATCAGTGGTCTTGTATGTCTTCCATTTCCTAATAATTGCGCCCACAGTTGATTTCTTCAAACCAAGCTGCTTACCTATTGCAGATTCAGTCTTCCCAGCCTGGTGCAGGTCTACAATTTTGTTTCTGGTGTCCTTTGACAGCTCTTTGGTCTTGGCCATAGTGGAGTTTGGAGTGTGACTGTTTGAGGTTGTGGACAGGTGTCTTTTATACTGATAACAAGTTCAAACAGGTGCCATTAATACAGGTAACGAGTGGAGGACAGAGGAGCCTCTTAAAGAAGAAGTTACAGGTCTGTGAGAGCCAGAAATCTTGCTTGTTTGTAGGTGACCAAATACTTATTTTCCACCATAATTAGCAAATAAATTCATAAAAAATCCTACAATGTGATTTTCTGGATTTTTTTTTCTCAATTTGTCTGTCATAGTTGACGTGTACCTATGATGAAAATTACAGGCCTCTCTCATCTTTTTAAGTGGGAGAACTTGCACAATTGGTGGCTGACTAAATACTTTTTTCCCCCACTGTATTATTAGACAAAATGTTGTTTTAGCACATGAGGCCTCCAACCATGAGAATGACTGTAGGATTTTCACGCAAAACAAATTCAAATTAATTCAATTCGATATATCACCCAGCCCTAAATCTGGAGTCTTTCTCAGGGCGGTGTGACCTACACTGTGGCCTATCAGGTCACTGTGATCTCCGATACACCCTGACCAGGCCATGGTGGAGGGAGGCCAGTCCAGCTGAACACCATAGGTAGAAAACTCACAGCCCCCTTCATCTCAGGTCAGGACTGTGTGAGCCCAGTTCCAATAGACAATCTCATACCGCTTTCATACACTGGCTTAAGACATTCTCAAAAGAAATGAATTGACTAAACCATTTTACATCCAGCTTGTTCTCAAGCGCTTCCATAAAGAAAGATAGATTATGGTGTCCTCACAATAGACATGGATAAGACCAAAATGTGATATGATGAAAATGAACAGAATTCAGTGAACCGAGAAGCCTTATTCCTTTCAGTAAGGAGGGACAGAACATTGATCTGTCAGTGAACCCCATGAGAAAAGGGGAACACAGAGAGAGAGAGAGAGAGAGAGAGAGAGAGAGAGAGAAAATCACTGACAGTCAATCAGTCCCACAGTCAAATGGGGGGGGGGTATGGGGGGGAGACTGCTAGACCAGATGAAAAGAGGCCCACTGTTAGAGCACAGAGAGCACAGCTCCCATTCAGACCGAGAGAAAGAGGAATGAGAAATAGATGGAGGGAGAAAGAAAGAAAGTGAAATGGTCCATCTCTGACACTAGGATTAGTGGTGTCAGCAGTGCGGTGGCTTTCCATTCAGCAGATCCAGGAAAAACTGCCTGGTCTGGTCAACAAAGGGGCTTCTGGGCTGGCTGGCTCTCCTCAACACGCAACAGACCAGTTTGTTGTCTGGTTCAATTCCTCCCAAATCAACCTCCATCCATCACACCATTAACCTAACCCACTGAGGAGACGCCACCACCAGCGCTAAGATAGGAAACTGAGGGACCATGAGTCCAGTCAAGTGGCGATTGTTCTGAATAGCTCTTGGGAGTACATGGCCACTCTGCCATCGAAACAAATAAATCTACAGAGATAGAAATGACAGAAATAACTGACTAGATTGTGAAAAACAACAAGAGTCAGGCTGTCTGTCTGACTAATCCAACTACTAGCCTCTCTACATTGGCCCATTTTCTGTAAAAAGCATCAGACTAGTTGATCTCCTCTCCCACACACCCCCACCCATCCCCTAACACCAGTCCCAATTCACTGACGGCTTAAACCATCCCAGGATTTAGCTGACCGCAACCCCGTTCTGCTCTGATATCTGCCTGTGAGAATAAAGGCACACACTTCTTTGACTAGCCTTCTGACTGTGCTGAGGGACAGCTCTCTGGACCAATGAGAAAACAGCCTTTGGGACATGTGTCTTCGGGGCACCGGCCTCTCCTGGGAGACACTTTGCTGCTCTTTGACACGATGTGCCAAAGTTTTTGTAGAAGGAGTGACGCAACAATATTTGTAAAATTCGCTGCTTTGGTGTGAACTTGAAATCATACGACCATGCAAAGAGTTTGGCCTCTTGACGAGTGGCTTAAAAGCCAATTGAATCTGTGTGCAGTTCCAGGTGTCAAGTAAATGGTTACATCACAGACCAAAAACCATTTGGTAGTAAAAAATCAAATGACATGAACTAATTTTTGGAGGGAGAAGGCCATGTCATAGTACAGGCTGTATCTTCGACCCCCAGAAGACCCCCTAGCACAGTGCTGCTGCAATAACAGATAGCACTCGACTCCGAATTGTAGATAACACCAACCACCTCCATCTACCGCCTCCCTCTCTATGACACTTTCCCTCCTTCACTCCCTCAACCACCAACTACCTCCCACACACACACCCACATACTACTACTAAAACAGCAGAGCAGAATACTTCCTAGAGGCTCACTGTCTATGTAACCCTTGCTCTCTCTCCAACAGGCTCATTCAATTTTAGTGTTAAGAGGAGACTATGAGAAACACCATGCACAAATTCCATCCCCATGGCGATAGGATAGTCCAAGTCCAACCACCTGGTTTCTAAACAGTGCAAGCAGTGTTTAGGACTGGCCTACTGTACACATACAGAGGT